AGACGATACTGTACTTGTGCTTGTTTAAAAACGAGGAGAATTGACTACGCTTATCTAATAAGGTAGCGTATCAAAAATGAAATTTTTTTTCCAATACCCTTATTACGTACAGAAACAAGTTTCAAACACAGAATAAATTCATGGCTAGTTTCTGTGCGTCTGTATATGTGTCTGCCTGCGCTACTGTGCCATATTTGTGGCCAATATTCTCCCGCTAGCGAAAATGAAGATATCGCTTAAAAATTTCTAAAGGGATTCGAAAATTACCCAAATTTTCAGGGGACACACCTTTAACGCCTACGGTCCTATGCGAGAAACACTTTTGTTATGAAAATGGAGAAAATCGGCCGCGCCCACATCATATTGTAGAGCATGAAAATGTAGTCTTTTTCCTTTTTTTAGTCATTTTTAGTATAGCGGTGATGGGTATGAAAGATTTGTTCGTGACTGTGCATAATTTTCTTACTTGTATGCTTAAGAATTGCAACCTTGTTAGAACTAGGTGAAGTGCTGTAGGGTATGCATTTAGCCTAACCTTGTTAGAACTAGGTGAAGTGTTGTAGGGTATGCTTTTAGCCTAACCTTGTTAGAGCTAGGTGAAGTGCTGTAGGGTATGCTTTTAGCCTAACCTTGTTAAGACTAGGTGAAGTGTTGTAAGGTATGCCTTTATCCTAACCTTGTTAGAACTAGGTGAAGTGCTGTAGGGTATGCTTTTATCCTAACCTTGTTAGAACTAGGTGAAGTGTTGTAGGGTATGCATTTATCCTAACCTTGTTAGAACTAGGTGTGGTGTTGTAGGGTACGCTTTTGGCCGTTGGTGACGTTTTCTTATTTTTATAAAACTGATTTATTTCAATGTAAGGCAAATGCTTCTTTAGTTTTACTCTTCCAACTTGATCGTTGATTGTAATCAAATGAAAATTTGTGAACTTTTGTTTTTTCATTTGCGAGAAAAATCATTCGCAATGTTTTTTTTTTTAGTACTGGCTTAAGTACTTTCTCCTCGCAAATGATGTGAAAAGATGATTGTGCTGCGATTGACGAAAATTTAAATGGTCCAAAAAATCGATGTTAGTCGTAGGGTTATGTTACGAATATTTATGGTAAGAATAAAAGGCACATAGGGATGAAATGGCAAATACAATGCAATGGTAAGAAAAAATGTTTAAAGCCATTGAACTAAGTGCGTGGTGCACACATCGCAACTATGAAGTCAAACCAATTTTTCTTCAAAATTAAAATTTAAAACTTGAAAAACATTTCTCTGAAAATAATGTTTTTCATGCTTATCGTATTTGTTATCTCTACTGCAATTTTCATCCAATTGCCGTCAAATTTTAGTTACAGATCTAAAACAAGATACTACCCTGGTAAACATCGGGCCGTATTATTAAAAATCATGAAAAAAAGGAGTTTATCCTCGCCAGCTACTCATAATTCATATTTTCAAAAAATTGTGAAACAGTCTTTGATCTTCAACAGTATGGTAAGGGTGATCAAGTAAGGAATGGACCGTTTTATTGGTGCTGCCGTGCCTCCTTGCGTTCATTAAGATATCCAAAAAAAAGGGATTTTAGAGAGCCTTTAAAAAGCGGACTTTTTAAACAAAATGTAAAAAAATAAATTTGAAAAAATACGCTCAGCGGGAGAAGAGATCTGTCATATCATTCGCAACTTCCCAAAGAAAGTTTTAGAGACTATAAGGTATACATATATTCTTGATCAGCATGAAATTCTGAATTGACTAAGCCATGTCTGGGCGTCTCTGTGGTGGCATCGAAAGCATCGACTTCAAATTTGATAGAAATATTGAAGGTTCTTGCAAGCAGGTTGATACAGTAAAAGGGTTAAGTTGGTGCTAGCACTAACCCGCAGTTAGCCCTAAACTAACCTCAACTCCGTTTTTCTAAACAAAAACTTATGCATTTTTTCTCGTTTTTCCACAATTACTTTACGAAAACTTTCTTATTTGTGTGGACAGATGCAAAATATCGACCATGCCCACACCAAGTTTCAAGTGATTAAATTTTCTTTTTTTCATTTTATTGCGACTTTATGCCTATTAATCATAAGGTAAAGAAGAAAGAATGTTCAATACTGTTTTGTTCATTCGTCAAGTGAAGGAATTTTATCTGTCTAAAAATGGGTTAATTCTAAAATAAATATGGTGGACACCACGACGTGGTGGGTTAATTTTTTCCTATTAATATCAGTGATATGGGTATCAAATAAAAGGGTTTGGAGTGTACTATGCGACAAGCTAAGCGTGCTAATTCCAAATTAATTGTGGTGAACGTCACGCCAAGGTGGATAAATTTTTTGCCTAAAAATACCGTCCGTATGGGCATCAAATAAAAAGGTTTGGAGAGTAGAACGCGATAAGCTAAGTGTTCTGAATTAATTTCGCTCGTCGCCACGAAGCGGTAGATTAATTTCTCTTAACAACGCCTTTTAATGACATTAAATAAAAGCATTGGCCGAGAAAATTTTAATGGTGATGGGTACGCGAGATTCCTCTGTCGCCGAATATAATTTTCTTACCTATTTTATATATTATTGGAGAAATGATGCTAGGTGCAGTGCATGTAAGGTGATATTACTCCGAGTAATAGACGAAAATAAATATCACTGTATATATAAGAAACAGTGGATGTCTTAACCCCGGTTGGCGATTATGCTTTTATTTTATCCCCTTTGTTGCTCCTCGTTGACCCTTCGAGTTTGTATGTGTGGAAAATGTTATATAAGTAACTAGCTTCGTCTTATGCCTATCATGATTTTGAGATAACAATGATTTCCTCTTTGGTTAAATTGTATTACAATTTGTTCAACAACAAGTTCGTGCTTTTTCTCTCAAATGGTAATAGCTTTGAAGAAGAATTCCTTTACATTTTTTCACATAACTACAACATTGACATATTTTCAAACTCTTTACAGGATTTATAAACTCGTGTATACGACATTGTATGGCACGTATATAACACATCCAACTATCGACTTTATTTACATCTTCTGGATTGCCTTGTCAGACAAAAATTGAGCTTTGTACTTGCCTGCAGATTGTAACGAACTTTGCTAATAAGGCCAAGAAAGATGACCTGAGTTAAAACGTCTGAAATACCCTTAAAAGTAGTAGCACTATAAGGACCTGTCCTTTTTTTTTCTTCAACTTTCCTAGTATTCATCATCGATTTTTTATGCGTGACAGAAACTCAATTTATTCCTTTGTAGAGAACAACAGCATCTGTCAGCGGTGCTCTTCTATCAGGATATCTGGCAACATGGAAGTACACAACAAGCGCTAAGTGTCGAAATATGCATTCGAGAGCCTAGGTTCTTTAAAGCGATATAAAAAAGACCGATAAAAGCCGATATCCATATTATATAGGACGCCTACATCAGGCCAGACTGAGTGTATTACAGTCATATCTAGGGGACGGAGCTTCCAAATCTTACTTGGGGGCCCTCGATTACTCCTCATGGATGGTGAAATTGTGGATATCGGCGTAATGTTCTGCAAAGAGATTTATCCACCGAATAAGTCCTTTAACAGGATCACAAGGCTTTCTCAGCGTTCCCACCTACTCGTCTTCCAATTATTTGTCGCACGGTGTACTACCACGACTCATCATTTTCCTTTGGAACAACTTACCAACAGTGGTCTTTTTTCACCTTGACTGATATTTCCAGTTTAAATCAAACCTGCACAAACACCGTTCTCTGCTTCCATCCCTCTTCACCTATAATCCATCCTAACCACGATTTTGCCTGCACGTACAGGAGGCACCTTTTGGTCCTCTGATTCATCATACACTCCCAAAAAAAAAAAAAATGCATGTTTAATTAAATGACGTACATTCTTAGTTTAAAACTGAGGGCGTGGTAGACACCTGAAGAAGGTCTTTGACATTTTCACACTATATATCTGAGCATGTTGTTGCCTAAAATATCTTGTGATTCAAAGTTTTGGACATCTGTCTTAAAGATCATTAAACACACTCGCTTAGAAGAAGTTCCGATTGATCAAAAGACAAGCTTTAAGGTTTTTTATGTACTACCTCTAGTCGACACGGCTGGCAGGTCTTCAAGACTCGCCTATGCTAAGCTAGAATGAACTTTTCTTAAAGATGTTTTTCTTTCCCCTCACGATTGGCCAAATAAATCACTTTAAAGCATTGCGATTTTCAATGCTTACGTGATTTAAATTTGAAGCTACTGCAAAACTTAAGCATCTACACACATGAAATCATCAATTATGTGCATGAATTGAGGGGAAACGATGTGTACGAGAAAGAGCATTTCTAGTTTCATTTATCACAATAGCTGCACTTAAACGGACTCTTTAAGTGAAATTTAATTTGAATCGATTTAAGTAAGCTGTACGTACGATTTTAATATTATCGGTTCAATTTGAAATTAATAATAAGTTTTAATTGTTTGATTGATATTCGGATCTAATAACAACAGTAATCATAACAATAACGATAATAATAACAATAATAATAATAAATAGGTTAATACTTTTGTATATAGCATACATATTACACAAACAATTGTTACATTTAAATTATTATTCAATTAATTCAATTCACATGAATGTTGACAATCGTATCAGGGGAGATGTTATTATATAGCCTTAGCTATCACTATGATTACGGGAGGCGGGGGCGGGGGCAGGGGCACGGAGATGAGATATGAAGAAAAATTATAAAAATTTTATATTTAGTTATTTGCAAATTATACACCCAAACACTTATGTATTTACATACACACATATGCATTTATTGTAACATTATTGTGATATAAAAACAACAACATCAAGAAAATTTGTAGAAACTTGCGATAAAAAGTAAAACAGAACAAATCAAATTTAAGTTCTTCAGTCATGGGAATATCATTATTATTATCATTATCAACGTCCAAGTTATACAAACATTCAAAATATATGAATTACGGAGTAAGCACATAAAGAGATTAGTAGTAGTAGTAGTGGTACGTACCTAAAGCGATTGGTGTGCTATTGATATGATTCGTGGCGTTTAGGCTGTTTGAATTTAATGTATTCGAGCCACTTAGGCTGCTGCTATGATTGCTATTAGCTGATGAGCCATTAACACTGCTGCCGATGCTTAAACTGCCATTGCTAATACTGCCGCCAACACCACCACCAACACTACCACCACCACCACCGCCACCGCCACCAACGACACCGTTACCGCTGCTACCGTTCATTAAATGACTTGATTGCTGTTGATCGATTAATAAGGTTCCTATGCTGCGTTGTCCAACATTGCTTGAACCGCCACTACAACCTCCATTACCATTTTGTTGCTGCTGTTGAGTCATTAGTTGTTGCTGTTGTATTAGTTGGCCTGTGGTTGTTTCAATTGTCGTAGCGACGGCGTGTTGAAAATTTAAACGTTGATTATCAATTGTCATTGGTGACGTAAGAGTATGATTGCTGCCATTCGAACTAAGCGTTGAATTGCTATCCCCGCTAGGGGTTAAATCACTATTCGTTTGTTGTTGTTTTTGATTTTGTTTGCCAAATAATAAAACACTAGCAGATGGTGACTGCAAACCGAGAGCGGTTGGTTTCGTTGACACCAATGAAGTTGTCGCCGATGCTGATGTTATAGTTGTGGCTGCTACAGCTAAAGGGGTGTTGGCAGTATCCAATGACAGTAATGGTTTCAATGGCTTATTATTGTTAACACTTTTGTCATCCAACGATTTAAATGTTTTCTAAAATGATGCAATAATAAAAGCAACAACATAACGAAAAAGATAGTTTTATCATTTGTTGCCATTGATTTAATTAAAAGTTTAAAACTTGATTATGAAACAATATTTCAAAATTTAAATAAATAATTTTTCCTATTACCTAAAAGTACAAAAAGCATTGGTGTACATGTTTACCATGTATACCTTTTGGAACTTCATGAAAGAGTAATATGATATATATTTTTCATTGCATTGATAGCTCTCGGGAATACACTGTACATGCCCCATGAGATATATGCGTTTTTAATTGGTTTTATTCATTGATCTACTTCTGAGTCCTTGGGTCCTCTCCTGTCTACGTTGTTTCGGACGTAAGGACGGTCCTTACTTTCAATGTCTTCTCTCGACATATAATTCGTTATTTGTCTTTCTTTACGGCATGACCTTAGTTTAACCCTTTTCTGCCCTTTTCCTCAGTACAACGTATGTTGTTCTGTTCCCTTATGTTTTCAATCATCCTATTGTTTATCCCGTCCTTTCTACCATTTGTTGGTACTGCCATCTTCATTTCGTCCTTGCGACATTCGTCTCTCTGTCCAACCTTTGTTTCATCTATGCGACTTTCTTTTCTTCCTTTTTTTATTCTATGACACCCTCATCGGTAACCTTATGCGTAAGGCAACATCGGAAGCGGGCTGGACTAACTTTTAATTTCTTTTTTCCATTAGTCCGATTTTACTTGTCCATTCCATCAATCATTATCTTCTCTTATCAACCATTCATCTGATTTGTGACTCTAGAGCTTTTACATGATTTGTCAATGGGCTAAACTGGTGACATTTGGAATGCGGTGGAGGTAGCCGTTTATACATGATCCCCCTTCGAAAAGAGCACAAAACAGGTGCAATAGTTCTAAAAACTTGCGGCACACCTTTAAAAATATAAAGATAGTCTAGTAGACAATTTACGTCTCCTACACTTTAACCAAGGCCTATCTGGCTAAGGCGTAGTAACTACTTCGTGTAGTATAATGAGATTAAACTCTTTCTGCTTTTTAGTATTCTGACATTTATCACTAGCTGATTATGTTCCTATTTTGGAATGGATCGCCGGCCTCAAGTATCCTACTAGGTATGTACATACGAAACCGGAGTTTTCGTATAGAAAATATATGTTTCTTGTATGAAAGTTTAAAAAAAAAAATGCTTTTGCAAACTGCTCGGTTTGTCCATGTCTTTGACAATTTGCGGATGTCACGACAAAATAACTATTGTTCGTTTGAGTAGTTTTCGTACATTTTCATAAGAAGTGAAGCGCTGCTTAGCAACTGCGTGGCCCATCAATGAAAACAAGTGATTATCGAATCGATTCGAGCTTAGTGGCCCAGCATTTTCCAATTGTGTGCTTCCAACGTATCGAAAATCGGTTTTGTTGAATGGATGGCTGCACGGATATCATATAAACGATGTCCTCCTGTTGCCTTCTGTTGTCGAACAGTGTACACTTCAAATGGAATAACTGTTTTTGCAAGCATTTGATGCAAGATATTAATAACAACCCACCCTCCCCTGGTTGCAGCAAACAAAGAGTATCGTCTTCCTGCCATAGTGGTTGAGTCTTGCATTTGATGTGTAATCCTTGATCAACACATGAAATTTTGCACCTGGTATACTCAGAGTAGATCCACCTTTCAATCCCATTCAAGGTACGAAGTAAAAAAGACTATCGTTCGGGCAAACAAGTAATGCCGTCGGCGAATGATCTTTATTTGGTAACAAAATCGAAAATTTCATTATAAGGAAAAGTAGTTTCGCCTTACGATATGTATTGACATTACGACTGGTTATTGCGAGATGTTTAGGATATAAAAAAAAAAAACCCAACTTCCGATAAGTACGTCCTCGCACATGGTGTTAGATCCATCTATCTATGAGCGAATTCCGGTTTCATATTTACATATCCTCGCACTTTCACACTAAGACAAATATTTAGAAAGTTTTTTCTTTCATGTTAAAGCACTACGGAAGAGAACACCGATAAAAGCGTTATTTTAAACCTTAAAACATGATCGTGAATGAAATGAAGTCTCAAAAGGAAGTGTTGGTTCAACTTTTTGTACTTTTAGGTAAGATTGCAAGGCAGAGACAAATGAGTTTTCAATGATTTTCTTTATTTTTATATTCATCGAAAGAGGAAGCTTCTGTAACTAAGAAATCGAATGCTGCTTGACTGGGATGATAGGCGAGCTTGTGATATTATACACAGAAAGTAAGAAAGTATATATATATTAAAAAAAAATATACCAAGCAATGTGTTAGGAAAACAGGAAAAAAAAAAGGAAAGAATAATTCAATGCAAGAAAGCATGCAAGAAAAAAGAACATGAAAGGAATTTTATATATTTATCTTTAAATTATTTTTCCATTAAAACGAAGTCTTTTGGAAAACGGATTTTTTGCGTAAGAGTGAAAGAATTTAAGAGGAGCCTACGACTACAATGACATGTGAGATAATAAAGAAAAAAAAAAAAAAAAAAAACAAGACAAGAAAGGTGGATCGTATTGGGGTCTTTGTACTTACAGATTCATTAAGTTTGTGCAATGAAGCATTAATGCGTTCTGGATTACGCGGTGGTGGTTCAGGCGGCTCTGAAGCAGCCATTGTCGGACCCGTATTAGTGCCGTTTATTTGCATAATATTTCAACAACAAAAATTTATATTAAACTTTACTCTCTCGCCTTTCTTTTTTTCCTCGCCCACTACCACTTTTGTGTCATTTCATAGAAAAATTTTAAACTAACATTTTTTCTTTCAATTGACTATAAACATTCTGTTTTCCACTTCCTTTCGTTTCTCATAAAAACTTGTTCGTTTTTCTGTTCATATTTTCTCTCTAGTTTTAATTAATTAGTGAAAAATCCACATAATTCCTGCAAAAAAATGAAACAAAAAAAAAAAAAAAAACAAGAAACGTCGAGTCGCCTATTTTGTCATGTATATGCGTAGGATTTGCTTGCAGATTCCCTTTATAAAATTTAAAGAATTTATAAATGTGTCATTAAGTTTGCTAATTTTCTTTTTCTTTTTCTCTCTTTTCTTTTTTGCTTTGAATTTTTTTAATCGTTTATATTAAAATTTCTTACTATTTAAGCAATCGCATAAGCAAGAGTTGTATTCCATAGAAAGCTTTCATTTTGTCTTTGTGATGTTTTCAACGAGATCTGCAATGAAAAGATACACAAGAAAAGACAAAAAAAATTTAGTAATTAAAAAATTATTTATAATACGAGTTAAGCTCGATTACATACATAATTAGCTTTCTTAACTGGCGGGTATATTCTGGGAGTAGGGAAAAATGCATAAAGCCAGCGAGAATCGACTCTATAGTTTAACTTTCCTCCCTGAGTATGCAAGAATAAATTTGATAACACCCGATCCCATAGGGTGAGGATATCCCACTTATATCAGCGGATATCCCAAGGGTGTCACTTATAGCATTCTAACAAAGCGTTCTTGACAACACTACGCTAAGATAATACAATGAAGACTAATCTAGCGAGGTCTAGCAAAATTTTATCTCTCTTTAGTGAAGTACACAGTTGTGTACACTGTAACTTTACATTCACGTTCTTTAAAAACTCTTTGCGCGGATTTCAGAGCTACCGCTACCAAAAGTCTTTCCATGGTATTGTTCCCAAATATCAGGTCGACCCGTGACACATCAGGTGCTCTTTCAAACCGTTGTTACCAAGTTGTTTCTGATACGACCCAAGGCGTAAGGAGAAAATATAAATACCATGGACGTCAGACTTGCTCTTCAGCTTGGCTAATATTTCCCTAGTTTGCAGACTTTCACGGTAATATAACGCTAGCGAAATGCACACCACCTCAAACAGGTCCTTTTGCCTCTTCTCTGTTGTCGGGATTTTCGCTACGGCAGTGTATCTCTTTGGTTATCTGTGAAAGTAGGAAAAAAATTGAATGGTTTTCCTATTACACAAGACAAGATTTTCGAGTTGAACCGTGTATTAGATAGCATGATGAATATGAAATTGTGGCATTGACGAAGCAATCGTTTTAAAAAAACAGATAATAATTCATTAATTAAAGTCGGGCAAGACGCGTCGTAACATACGTTACACAACTTTGCCTAGTGAAATTCTTTGTATATTCTGGTGCCAAAGAATGTAACTTATTTCCATCTAACGTCATGCCCTTATATGGAAGACCGTAGAATACATAAATTAACGAAACATTTGTCTTTTTTTCAAGATCTGCTTTCGTCGTAAGATACTAGAAATTAGATTTTCTTTATATGGGGTGGAATCCAGAAAAAAAAAAACGTAGTCTAGATTTGGTGTGGTCAAGATATTATTAGGCATTGACTCTTATTACGAAATATTAAAAATTAGTTATCCTATATGAAGGGTTATTTTTCGCCAGAACGGTGCTATGAGAAAGGATTCAAAACATCGACTTATCAAGTTAGCAGGCTGAGATACAATTACTTAACAATTTTTGTCGGGACATTCTGAAATTTGTAATTTTTTTCTTTGTATGGGGACTGTTCGCAAAAATTTTCTGATTGAATCCATTTCCAGTCCCAGGAGCTCATATTTGGGTAAAGTACGTTAGTATACCAAATCTTATCAAAATATGATCTGTAGATTGAACACGAAGTTAGACAGACATTAGGTGGACGGACGAACGGACGGACATTCATGCTTAAAACGGTCTAAATCGATCAACATTATAAAAGATCAGCCTATGTTAAACCGTTCTGGGTGTTGCATACACATCCGCGTAACTTAAGATACTCTATAAAAAAATTCTCGGAAGCACGCGAAATACCTTTTAACGAGAATGCAAATAATAATAAATAATGTTACATTATAAGCTTTGAGATTTCTCATCTTTATTAATGATTGTAATATAAATTTCTTCATTTTCATAAGTACTACGACACACTTTGAGTTTAATCGATGAGAAACTTAATACTCCTCAGCGTGTTCTCGTTAAAAGTGTTTAAGTCTTATTCTTATATTTCGTGCATCTATCTAGAAAACCTCTAGGAAACGGTAACGTTCTTAAAAAATTAAAATTGTTCATCCGTTAATTGTAATAAAAAAGAGAATAAGTTATGTGTGTAGCGGTGTACACAACTCATAATAAAGTTGATGTTACATCACCAAAGGAATGTCGAAAAATTGAGTTTAAAAAAAATAATTTTCAAAATTATTTTAAATATTAATTTTACGAGTTTGCAAACGAAAGAGCTTTTGTGAGCTTGTGTTACTTCACATGCTTTCAAAGAAATCTTTTATACGCTTTATGTTTATGCATATTAAATTTGCACAAGTACACGTATATATATATATATATACTTAAGGTGAAGTAGTATGAGAGAGAGTGTTATTTGTGTAAGCATACATAGAAACCACGAAACCGAAGCCAAAGGTCTTTGTTATAATTTCGAGAAGCCTTTGCTTGGTTTAGCTTTGTGGTTTTTATTATATAACCGTTTTGTTGTCTTCTTCTTTTTCCAACACACAAAGTTTTGCTGTACTGCGTGTTTAAGAAATAACATATGAATAAATGCGAAATAAATTGGAATAGAAATGTATTCTCTAAGACTTTTGGTAAATTTAGTCTTTGGTGTAGAATGAGCAAGAATTAGATTTTGTCGTTAAGTCAATCCTTCCTTCACTCTGTGCATTTTAAGTCATTTATGTTGAATAGTAGCTCGGAACGTCTGACGGCTGAGAGCTTTTATATGCAGAGTATTTCAACGAGAGGGATTTCGAATTTGAATTTCGATCCATTTTTGAGCGCCTATGTGCAACAGCCATTGCAATGACCTCTGACGTGTTTACGACAAGTAGGAGATTTGGTGAGGACCAAATTGTGTTGATTCCACTCACATTTATCTTAATTCTAAATTTTTCTTTTCGCAACGAGTTAAATATCGCAGATCAGGGCTTCCTTTTCTACATACCTCATTAAATATAAGGACCGACATGGAACACGGGAAGGCTATTAAATTCCAGGTCATATCATATAACGTCTAATGCTTGTTAACTGATTGGGAATGTCAATTAAGCGCGAAGCGCGGTGTACAGGTAAAGAGGACCACTCTCCCTCTTCCTTCTAGATTTAATCGTTCGTAGCAGTCCGCACAAGAAAAGGAACGTCACCAGGCTATCACAATGCGATCGAAATTAGCCGACCGAGACGTTGGACTGTCTGATGCCCGATCATTAATTACTATCAAATAGAAAACCAATAGGTTAAACAGTGAAAGACGCTCCATTTCCCATTGCGTTTGTGCTGATAACCAAAGTAAAAATTGACCCTTTGAATTGTAAGAATCCTTGTGTTATAAAAATAGATCTTCTGTAAAGTTATTAAAATAAACTAAATTCCCTACTTATTCCTTAGAAAAAAAAAAACGTTGAAGGTTATGATAATAGGGATATCACGTCAGAATAAGTAAAGTAAGCCGGAAAGCAATATAACGCTATACGACCGCTATGCTTGGAACTAACCGATGAGACATACCCGCTAACAAAGTCAAATTTTAATTTTTACAGTTTCTAAATGCATTTACTATACGTTAGATGATGACGCTGGCTCCTCAAACAAGCAAGGCAACGTCTTGAAACAAAATGACTGATAGTTTGCTATGGGTTTTGTGCTGGCTGGGATGTAATTGTCTCGTCCTTTTTCGAGAATGCTGCTGCTTTACACCATGCATTGAATAGGTGCATTATTGAAAATGTTCATGTGTTTTTTTTTTTGACGTGAAATGACTATTCTGGACATAGAGAAAGTTCACTCACAAGCTGTCACAAAGTTTGTGAAAAAGGGCTTTATTAAAACGATTTTTCTCTTTCCCATTAAATACTCTTCATAATGACTTTTCAGCTGACAGATGACAGACTAGAAAACTTAAGTGCGTGTACTTATTGTCTCCTGTGCTATGGATTACCGGCAATTTAAGCAAAGTCCCAATACCCAAAAAAAAAAAAAAAAAACAAAGAAAAATACAAAGCCCTGTTATTAAATGAGGTTATATTAATACGTGGCTTCGGATTTTATTTGAAGAGGCATTTAGAAATTCATAGTTGACTGACGTAAGAAAAAATGTTTGCATTTTTTGTCGCATTAATTTTCTTGATTTATTTTGAAATTGACTTTTCTGAGTGCGTACAACATTATTAATGTGCGTGGACGACGTCAAAGTATGCCACTTCTTTGACGCGTCAGTACAGTGTCAAACTTCTCCAGAGCGATTTTGTTAACCTGCAAACATGATGTGTAGCTAATGCTTTGGTATGGAAATCAAAAAACTATAAGAAATCATTTGCATGGATTGATGTGTTGCTCTTCTATTAACGCGCCAATAATGGTTCAAACTATAAAGACTGAGGTGTTGTCTTCGATTCAATAGTTAGCCTTGACATCCGCATTAACATTTCAGATAGCTCCCACCTTACCAAAGACTGGTTTGTACACATCTGTAGTTAGACCAGCGTTAGGATAGTTGGCTGTTGTCTGCCTTCTGGTTTCTTTAATATGAACTCATACCATTTGCTTTGCCTGTTTTACCGCTTGTATGTACATAGTGAACGTATGTAACTAACTGCCTAATTGTTCGTACTTTGTGCAAGCACAAATAAATCCGATCACAACAATTTTTTGAAATTATTTATATCTCGGATATTTGTTTACACAACCAAACCCCTTATTCTCTATTATCACATATTTCATACTGTAGCCAAACTAAACGATGCGTATTCAAATAAATTATAAATTGTGGCATTAAAACATTTGCATAGGTGTGTTCATGTTCTAAATAGAACTATTTTTCCTTCATTTATTATAATTAGTTATAAAAACAGATGCATTCACACATTAACATATATGCCTGCATCTTAAATTATTGATCCTATTGATATTATTGTATCTCGGGTCGTCGTTCTTTAGTCACACTGCTCGCCTCTGGAACAAACTGCCAACACTGGTCTTTCCCACCGTCTCTGATGGTTTTACTTGTAAGTCAAACGCCCATTGGCACTACTCCCTCTTTTCGTCACTTTTCTATCTACAATTCTTTCTGGCTACTATCGTGCTCGAATCTACGGGAAACATCCCTCGTGTGGCTAATCATGTAAAAAACAAAAAATAGGTAAGTCTAGGTAAGGGTAAGTAAGTCTTTCAG